TTCTTTGGTACTCCACAGGCACCAGCTTCCTCTCAACTAGTCTTGCTTGCGACACTGTCTTTCCCTCATCCTGCTTGCCAGCTACACCAGCTTATCGCTTTCTTGCCACAAATCCAGCCCAATATGAAGGTGATAAACTACTACTTCAGCAGTATATGAATCATGGACTACGTATGGAAAACAAGTTTTTTATTCCACATCAAAGTTGGGTGAAATATCCTTGATCTTGTCCTCTGTTAAGGATTTTGACACAGGATTACTCGAAAAGTACACAGTAAAAGTACTTGATATTATTCATGCACGTAGTCTAGGAAGTACTAAGTTCAGCGGTATATGAATCTTGGGCTACTTATGGAAAATAAGTGTTTTATTCCACATCAAAGTTGGGTGAAATATCCTTGATCTTATCCTCTGTTAAGGATTTTGACAAAGGATTACTCAAAAAGTACACAGTAAAAGTACTTCATATTATGCATGCAAGTAGTCTAAGAAGTGCTAAATTCAGCAGTATATGAATGATAGATTACGTATGGAAAATAAGTTTTTTATTCCACATCAAAGTTGGTTGAAATATCCTTAATCTTGTGATCTGTTAAGGATTTTGACAAAGGATTATTCGAAAAGTACACAGTAAAAATACGTGCACGTAGTCTAGGAAGTACTAAGTTCAGCAGTATATGAATCTTGGGTAACACTTCACAATAAGGTACACAAAATTAGAGTAGTTACTGAGGAACGAATGAGGAACTAATGATGAACTAACTATTAGTTAATGGTCAGTTCATCATTAACTCATGATCAAATTTCATGGAGGGGTTAATCATGACTTAATAATTAGTGAACTAGTTATTTCATCACTGCAGAATCATTACTCAATAACCCGTCCATTAGTTAACCTTTTTATGTCCTAAAGAAAAGTGATACATAATGAGTAGTCTTTCATTACTTCATCATCATCTTTACAATTAGTTCCTTAACAAAAATAATCAGACAGCAGGATTCTTGAGAAGAGTTTTATTCATTATTTTCAGACCACATACACATTAATATGACCATCCATGTTATTCTGTACGATGATGCCTTAGAAATAAATATGATAGTGTGTCACATTTTAGGTAGGCTAAGCTTAAAGAATTTATCATGGGGGCTGTATGTAAGGTACTGTATACTAATCACACCGTTGTTCACAGTACAGTTGTTTGAGGTGCACAAAATTTAAAGTAGTTACTATGAAACAAATTTGGAATGAATGTGGAACTAACTATTAGTTAATGGTCAGTTCTTCAGTAATTCCTGATCAAATTTCAGTAGTTACTGAGGAACTAATGAGGAACTAACTATTACTTAATCATTACCTACCCTTTTTGTGTACCCTAAAGTAAAGTGAGACATCAAAATGAGTAGGTAATGATTCAGTAATCATTACCTTCTCATTAGTTACTCTTTTTGTGTACCCTAAAATAAAGTGAGACATCAAAATGAGTAGGTAATGAGTACTGAATCATTACCTACTCATTAGTTACTCTTTTTGTGTACACTAAAGTAAAGTGAGACATCAAAATGAGTAGATGATGATTCAGTAATCATTACCTACTCATTAGTTACTCTTTTTGTGTACCCTAAAGTAAAGTGAGACATCAAAATGAGTAGGTAATGAGTACTGAATCATTACCTACTCATTTTGATGTCTCACTTTACTTTAGGGTACACAAAAAAGTTAGGTAATGATTAAGTAATAGTTAGTTCCTCATTAGTTCCTCAGTAACTACTCCTCTGAAATTTGATCAGGACTTACTGAAGAACTGACCATTAACTTATAGTTAGTTCCTCATTAGTTCCTCATTAGTCCCTCAGTAACTACTCTAATTTTATGTACCTTAGTTCCTCAGTAACTACTCATTAGTTCATCATTCATTCCTCATTTGTTCCTCAGTAACTACTCTTATTTTGTGTAGCTTAGTTCCTCAGTAACTACTCGTTCGTTCCTCATTAGTTCCTCATTTGTTCCTCATTAGTTCCCCAGTAACTACTCTAATTTTGTGTAGCTTAGTTCCTCAGTAACTACTCACTTGTTCCTCATTAGTTCCTCATTCGTTCCTCATTAGTTCCTCATTAGTTCTTCAGTAACTACTCTAATTTTGTGTACCTTATTGTAAAGTGTTACTGAATCTTGGACTACTTATGGAAAATACGTTTTTTATTCCACATCAAAGTTGGGCGAAATATTCTTGATCTTGTGATCTGTTAAGGATTCTGACACAGGATTACTCGAAAAGTACACAGTAAAAGTACTTCATATTATGCATGCACGTAGCCTAGGAAGTACTTAGTTCAGCGGTATATGAATCTTGGACTACTTATGGAAAATAAGTGTTTTATTCCACATCAAATTTTGGCGAAATACAGTTGCAATCAAAATTATTCAACCCCCACTGCATATTAGGCTTATTAGCAAAATGTAAAATTTTTCAGCTGTTTGCAATAAACAAAGTAGACAAGAACAGTTGAAATAGTTTAGTAAAACTAATATTACCATGGTTTTTATCCAAATTCAACACAAAATGCTACTTTTAATCACTACTGCAGTCTCAAAATTATTCAACTCCCTGTCTCAAGCACACCTGATGCAACTAATCAAGGGCTTCATTAGTTCAGGTGTGCTTGAGACAGAACACATAAATACCTGGACTGGCTAGGGTTTTGTTGAGAGTGACGTTTGATTGCATGTTAGAAATATGGCTAAGTCAAAAGAATTGTCCAAAAAGTTCAGAGAAGAAATCATTGCCTTGCACAAACAAGGAAAAGGATACAAAAAGATAGAAAAAGCTCTGAATGTTCCTAGAGATACAAGTTTTTTATTCCACATCAAAGTTGGGTGAAATATCCTTGATCTTATCCTCTGTTAAGGATTTTGACACAGGATTACTCGAAAACTACACAGTAAAAATACTTCATATTATGCATGCACGTAGTCTAGGAAGTACTAAGTTCAGTGGTATATGAATCTTGGACTACTTATGGAAAGTAAGTGTTTTATTCTACGTCAAAGTTCGGTAAAATATCCTTGATCTTGCCCTTTGTTAAGGATTCTGACACAGGATTACTCAAAAAGTACACAGTAAAAATACTTCATATTATGCATGCACGTAGTCTAGGAAGTACTTAGTTCAGCGGTATATGAATCTTGGACTACTTATGGAAAGTAAGTGTTTTTTTCTACGTCAAAGTTCGGCAAAATATCCTTGATCTTGTCCTCTAAGGACTTTGACACAGGATTACTCGAAAACAACACAGTAAAAATACTTCATATTATGCATGCACGTAGTCTAGGAAGTACTAAGTTCAGCGGTATATGGATCTTGGACTACTTATGGAAAATAAGTTTTTTATTCCACATCAAATTTTGGCGAAATATCCTTAATCTTGTGATCTGGTCAGGATTTTGACAAAGGATTACTGGAAAAGTACACAGTAAAAGTACTTCATATTATGCAAGCAAGTAGTCTAAGAAGTGCTAAGTTCAGCAGTATATGAATCTTGGACTACTTATGGAAAATAGGTTTTTTATTCTACGTCAAAATTCGGCAAAATATCCTTGAACTTGTCCTCTGCAGTCTGACCCACAGTCACTACCAGCAGCTCTTCAGAGCCGTTTCATTACGATTACCGTAAATGTTCGTAGATTCGCGCACTAGAAAAAAACGTGCGGCTGATTTGACCAAGCAAAAGCGAACCACGGCAGGCTTGACCACAGTGTGGCACTGGTGGCAAAGAAAAACGCCACATCTCCAATTTGGGAGTTTTTTGGGTTTATCCCAGATGCCGACACCACTGCACTGACAAGCCGGAGACGTGTTGCTCCTCCTCACTTCAAGTCGCTGTCATTAACTTTTAACCTGCAAAGGCGGCAGTGCCGCAACATTGTAGGAATTTATGAAAGCCCTTGTGAACATTTCAATAGTTACACATTAAAACAATATTTAATTGCAGTTACTCTATTGAATGACCCAGAAGTATGAGCAAACGAGCTGTGTCTTCGGATCAAAGAGATGTGCCCTGTCACTGTCAGCGCAGGGCTGACAGGGCACCCGCCGCTGAGAAGAGAGAGAGGAGAGGAGATGAGATGGATTGTAGGTCTGTTTGTAAACGGGGCTTCTCTGACAGTCATGTATTTCCCCAAAAAACAGCTCTTAATGCACGGTAGTGCCATTTTTTTTTTTAAAAAATTCAAAATCGCCTTGATATCCAGCAAATCGCCTGGCAACCCTCCAATCGCCAATATACGATTTGATCACTGATCATCCCAGGCCTACTGCCTTCGACAAGCTCTGTGTCCCCTCTGACTCAACATCTGTTAACACGGAGGAGCTCAGTTCCTGGTTTCACTCCTCCTGCCGAAAAAATACTGGACTCTGTGGCTCCATTGAAAACTGTGCAGCCTAAAGCTAAACCTCAGCCCTGGTTCAATGACAGAACCCGTGCAGCCAGACAGGAGTGCCACAAAGCTGAATGCAGGTGGAAGAAGAACAAACTGCAGGTTTCTTTCTAAATCCTAAAGGACTGTTGGCACCGTTACCAAAATACTGTTAAAGAGGCCAAAAGAGAACACAAACATTATTAAAAGTGACGGTGTTTGGTCTCAATGGCTCTTGTGGAACCATTATTCCTTGGCTTTCAACTCAGCATGAGACTCTGCTCTGGTTTTAGTGTTTTTATTGTTTTGCTTTATTTTATTTTATTATTTTTGTGTTTTTATTGTTTTTAATTTTTTATGTATAAGTTTTTATGTTTATGTACAGCACTTGTATGGCTGTTGTTATTTTTAAAGTGCTCTATAAATAAAGTTGAGTTGAGTGAGCATGCAAAAAATTGTTACCATGGAATTTCAACTAAATATCATGACATTTTGTTACTGACAGATTGCTCTGGAAGTAATTTTCTTAGTATTGCATATAAAGTGTTTCCTTGCCACATAGCATGTGTTTTGGTTTTCATGTCAGAACACCAACGGAGTGAACTTTTACAACATCCTGACCCAGGAGCCGGATGAGAAACGCAGATCTGCAGCAGGAGAAGACTTCATCTGTAAGACGCTGTGCTAACTGTTCACATCCAATGGTTCATTATATGACCCATAATGTACTACTTTATTTTCATTTCATTTGAGCTTTTACCATGTTCTTTTCCACCAGCTCTGCAGACACGTCGCCATGTTCAACCCCTACACAGCCTGTCACTGAGCGAGCTGATGAATGGACCAATCAGGAAGAAACTTGGCATCATCCCCCAGAATGTTACCTGGGGAGGTACTGTATCTAAACAGTGGACTCTCATTCTTGAAGCAGTATTTTGTCCTCTACAATGGTTGTCCCTCTCCTGTGTGTGCTGTCTAGGCCAGGCAGAGGGTGTGTTCAGCAACATGGTAGGAGACTTTATGAGGCCTGTGGTGGATGTAGTGGACCAGCTGCTGACGGCTGGAGTCAACGTCACCATCTACAATGGACAGTTGGATCTCATAGTGGACACCATGGGTAACCTACTCAGTGTATTGCCTTCCGTTCAGCACTAGCAGCAGTGTTGTCTGTGCTGTAAACCCATCCACATATCTAGTTCCTCTGCAGAGAGCTGTGCCACATGGATGTCTAATTCCTGTCACATGATTTGTACATGCTGTCTCAGGTCAGGAGCTGTGGGTGAAGAGGCTGAAGTGGGAGGGGCTGCCTGGGTTTAACAAGCTGAGGTGGACCCCACTGGATAACCCCTCCTACCCGGGCATTACTGGAGCTTTTTACAAGACTTATAAGAACTTTGCATTCTACTGGATCCTCAAAGCTGGTCACATGGTAAGATACCAATCATAGATAAAACAGCCTTAGTATGTCACACAGGAAGCTTTATCCTATTAGGTACTACATCACAATGAGGCACCTTGTTAGGGGTGCCTGCTGTGGAACACAGGCACAACCTATTATTATTATTTTCTTGTTAAAGAAACAACACAGCCAATACATTTTCAATTTTAGACCTGGTGGGATAATATACTGGCACTGTGAGCTCTCTAAGATATGACAGAGTCTGACCATTTAGAGCTTTATAAGTTAACAGTAGGATTTTAAATTCAATTCTGGATTTTACAGGTTTACACGTTGTTAGCTGTTAGCCGATAGCGGTGTCTGTAATAACTCAGTAAATGGCCCGTGAAAAAAATATTTTTTCCAGCAGATGTCTTAGTTACAACATGATTGAGCTAACTGGAGTAGTTTCATGTCGTATCCGACAACGGGAGGCTTTTAACAGATGCTGTTGTGAGCTGTCCCTGTCAGCTGCAGCCACTACTGATGCTTTCTAGACATCGTGATTTCCCATAACTGAATAAATACCACACATAGCAACACAAAACTGCTTTGCTAGCTCAATCATGTTGTAACTAAGATATCCGCTGGAAAAAATATTTTTTTTCACGGGCCATTTAGTGAGGTTTTTTTTTACATGGCGGCGGAAGCTATATGAACGAGCTAACCCTCGTCTGCTGAGTTTTAAAAATGCCGGCTATTTTGTAGCTTTCTGTTCACGTCACATCCCTCCTTGAGTATATCCAATCAGCACCAAGTAATCCCCAAGCCCCAGCCAGGAGTCTTTCGGGGCCGTTCTGAGTACCTACCCCGAGGCAGGGACTTGTTTAGCCCCCGTAAAAGTTCCGGAACTCTGTCCTTGGTGGGGGTGGTTCCTGCGGTGGAGACACGTACCAACGGCCCCGGCCCCGTAAAATTACCCCGAAGTTCCTGCGGTGGAAATGGGCCTAATGTGTTCTCGCCTCTTAGTTCCTGTCAGTGCACGTGCTGCTGCATTCTGAATTACCTGGAGAGTGTTTAAAGACTTATTAGAGCTACCTGATAATAGGAATTACAGTAATCCAGCCCAGAGGTAACAAAAGCGTGGACCAATTTTCTGCATCTTTTCGGGTTAGGATGGGCCTAATCTTCGCAATATTACGCAGATGAAAACACGAAACGAATGTTTTAAATGGGAGTTAAAAGACAAATCTTGATCAAATATTACTCCGAGGTTCAGGGGCGAAAATCCCATTTCATAGTTGTTAAAATTTTAGAGAATAATTCCAGGGGAGGACAAGGAAAAAAAAGTTGTAGCCTGTCTTTTATACAGCATCTTTTACCGCAATTTGACGCTTTAATCTTCTCTCTATCTCTCCAACAGGCAGAGTGAATGTCTATACTAAGTAAACTAAAACTAAAACTAAACATTTCCTGCAATTAAACTGGTAAACTGGTTTATAAACAGTGTGCTGTGAGATCTGCCGCTGCGCACCTCACAACCATGCGTAATAGTCGCGCGTAATGACTGCTCCTCGTCTGCATGTCTTTCATGTTTGTCTCACTGACAGGAGGAGAGCCTACAGACAGGTACCCATTAGCTACGCTCCGTCACAACAGTGCGTAATGCGCGTAATGACTGCTCCTCGTCTGCACGTCTTTCATGTTTGTCTCACTGACAGGTGGAGAGCCTACAGACAGGTACCCATTAGCTACGCTCCGTCACAACCGTGCGTAATGCGCGTAATGACCGCTCCTCGTCTGCACGTCTTTCATGTTTGTCTCATTGACAGGTGGAGAGCCTACAGACAGGTACCCATTAGCTACGCTCCGTCACAACCGTGCGTAATGCGCGTAATGACCGCTCCTCGTCTGCACGTCTTTCATGTTTGTCTCATTGACAGGTGGAGAGCCTACAGACAGGTACCCATTAGCTACGCTCCGTCACAACCGTGCGTAATGCGCGTAATGACCGCTCCTCGTCTGCACGTCTTTCATGTTTGTCTCATTGACAGGTGGAGAGCCTACAGACAGGTACCCATTAGCTACGCTCCGTCACAACCGTGCGTAATGCGCGTAATGACCGCTCCTCGTCTGCACGTCTTTCATGTTTGTCTCATTGACAGGAGGAGAGCCTACAGACAGGTACCCATTAGCTACGCTCCGTCACAACCGTGCGTAATGCGCGTAATGACCGCTCCTCGTCTGCACGTCTTTCATGTTTGTCTCATTGACAGGTGGAGAGCGTGCAGACAGGTACCCATTGCTCCGCCACTAACTGCTCTTGTCCTGTCCTCTCCCTCTTCTTTCTCTCCTGTCCTCTATGACTATCACTAAACTCAGAGCTTAATCATTAGCTTTTAGCTTAGCAGCACTCGTAATTGAGTAGGCTTTTGAACAATGCAGGAGAAATGTTGCAGACAGTTGATATTATCAGCCTGGGCCTGGTTGTAACAGTAAATGGGATGTGTTGTAACTTGTGTAAGTTAAACTGTGTCTGTGTGAGTGAACATCTTACCCTGCCATGCGCGATGTGGACAGCGGTTCCAGCCACACGGCTACTGCTGCCAAGCAGCCCCGCCCGTTGGAAAGAGTGTGGGATATACCACTACTAGGAATGGGAGGGGGGGGACTAAATCTTTTAAGATTTAAATAGCACATTATTGCGCGATTATAATGAGCACAGCTTACATTATGCTTTAAATAAATACTACTGCAATGTTCAAAAATTATTAATTGTGTCTCAAATGATTCTAGGGGGGTACAGCTTTACTGAAGGGGGAGTCATGTCCCCCCTGTCCCCCCCGGGATTTCCGCCCCTGCCGAGGTTACTTACGGGAGTGCTAGAGGCCAGAGCAATGCCATCCAGAGAAACTATGTCATCAGATAAAGAATCTCTGAGGTGTTTGGGGCCAAGAACAATAACTTCAGTTTTGTCTGAATTTAACATCAGGAAATTGGAGCTCATCCAGGTTTTTATGTCTTTAAGGCAATTTTGAAGTTAAGTTAATTAATAAGTTTCTTTTGACTTCATCGATAAATACAATTGTGTATCATCCACATAGCAATGGAAATTTACAGAGTGATTTCTTATGATGTTACCTAAGGGAAGCATGTATAGAGTGAATAGGATTGGTCCGAGCACAGAACCTTGTGGAAGTCCGAAACAAACTTTAGTATTTAGAGATGATTCAACATGAACAAACTGAAAACGATCAGATAAATAAGATTTAAACCAGCTTAGTGCAGAATCTTTTAGGCCAATTAAAGGGAAATTTCGGTTTATTTCAACTTGTCTCCTATCGTCCTAAATTTGTTTCAAGTCACTAGTGACATATAAATAATAGTTAGCATGTTAGCCGTTAGCCTAGATACAGCCGTAGCGTCAGACCTGTTAAAACTTAATTGAACGGGCATCCTTTCAAGTGCAAAGTTAGTTCACTAAACAAGCTTTTTCTCCACAAAGACCGCCTCATATCGTTAGGATAAATGTCAGAGAACATATAGAAAACGACATGTAAACGTGTTGTCTTACCTTACCGGTATGGTGCCATGTTTGTTGTTTACCATTTAGCTAAGGCTGCAACCGGTCCCATTCCTTGCAACTGAGGTATTCCTCTTCTGTGGGCATTGGGGTACAGCATTCACAGGTAACGTTACAACACCAATCTCCAGAGCTAAATCCTTCCAGCAGCCATTCCTCCTCTGTCGTCCTCTAACGTTATCTGTTGTGCCTCTCTCTCTCTCTCTCTCCTCCATTCTTCAATTTCACAAAGCTCTTCGTCAGTGTATTCTGGCTCAAATAAATAAGTGCGGCCATCGACTCTCGATGTGGAAAGCCTATATACTAACATTCCACATTTAGGTGGTCTTCAGAGTTGTTGTCTTACCTTACGTTGTGTTTACCGTTTACCTCTGCTTCCCAAAGTGCAGCCGAAATATCGCGAGAACAAGCAGCGATCTCATACCGTGCCTGAAATCTCGCGAGAATAAGCCGCAGCAGCTGCAAGGCAGAACCGGACAGTAGCCTGAAAGGTTCATTCATTTATTTTATGAAAGATTTATAGAATAATGGCTGACTTTTAGCAAAACTTCGACTTTGTGGAGGAGGAATTTGATTTTGCAGAGTTTTATGGCCGCACTTATTTATTTGAGCCAGAATACACTGACGAAGAGCTTCGTGAAACTGAAGAATGGAGGAGGAGAGAGAGAGAGGCACAACAGGTAGAGGACAACAGTGTTCCAGTCTCTGTAGCAGAATTTGATGGTCAATTGTGTCAAACGCCGCACTAAGATCTAATAAAACAAGTATAGAGACGAGTCCTTTGTCTGAAGCAATCAGAAGATCATTTGTAATTTTAACTAGTGCTGTCTCAGTGCTATGATGCACTCTAAATCCTGACTGAAATTCCTCAAATAAATTATTATCATGGAGAAAATCACACAGCTGGTCTGCGACTACTTTCTCAAGGATCTTTGAAA